TTACGGTCCCTCGCACTCCATTGTGAGCCCTTTCCGTTCATCTTCATATTTGCTTCTCTTCTTCTACCTTGTTGGATGCTCGTAAACTCTGTGGAAGCAAAATAACAAAGCGGATAAAAAATACTAAACCGGTATACCTTCACAACAGTTTTCATCCTGTTTTTGCGTTGAGAAGTCAACCATGTAATTTGTCTTTTCTTTTATTTTTTCCCTTTTTTTTTGCGAAGAATTCCAGCAATGAGCTGAATGTCAAAAGGTCACACGCCAGCTTGAAGTTTAAGGTCAGGGGGATCACGTGAAAGAATTAGGAGAGTAAGCGACCTTTTTTTAACCGTTCGTTACAAAAATGGCGGGAAACATGGAGCAAATTAGTGGCGTGTGTAGCCGACAGAACCCGGATGAAGAACACGTGTGAGAGTTGATAGCAAATGGGAAAAGATGGTGGCGGAAAAGGAAGTAGGAAAGAAATTGGAAAAATAAATATGGAGGAGCGACCGAATGGGCGTGATTACAGTATGTATCTATGTTATGCTATTAATTATTAATATTATTAATTTTTAAGGATGTAACACTCAGAACAGGTACATGATAAGTATGCCATTTATATATATATATATATATATATATATATATATATATATATATATATGTATATGTGTGTGTGTGTGTGTGTGTGTGTGTGTGTGTGTGTGTGTGTGTGTGTGTGTGTGTGTGTGTGTGTGTGTGTGTGTGTGTGTGTGTCTGTATGTATATATACCTATATATATATAATATATATATATATATATATATATATATATATATATATATATTATTCATACACACATACACACATGTACATACATTCATACATACATACATATTCATCTTTTTATTTATACATGACGTAAGACAGAGATTCCTTAGCACACTCATTTCACCAACTCCCAAACCCGCAAAGAGATGGGTCGAGAAAAGGAAGTCAATGTTTACATGAATAGAAAACGGGGAAAACAACAAAGGAAGAGGAAATAACGGGAAAGTTGCCCAACGGAAGCGAAACAACGGAAAAGCTGTAGAGAAACACACGCGGAGAGCGGAAATATATAGGTTTAATTTAGACGAAAAAAAGAAGAGGTAATAAAGAGACGGGGGTCATGTGTCAACGATGCGAGAATCCGCGAGAAATGGCGGGAAATTCCGAGACACAAGAGTTACGGCTGTTGTGTTCCAATAACTGAGATTTATAAGAACTGCCGTTTTTTTTAATACAATATATTTCAATAAATCTCTTGTAGGAGGTAATATTTTCATGCATTTATTTCTTCCGCGGAGAAACAGAGAGGGAGAGCTAAGGGAGAAAATAAAGAACGATTCAATAATTTGGAGTAAAATTGGTACATGAATCATTTACCACTTCATTTTGTTTGATTTACTGCCCAACCTCTCTCTCTCTCTCTCTCTCTCTCTCTCTCTCTCTCTCTCTCTCTCTCTCTCTCTCTCTCTCTCTCTCTCTCTCTCTCTCTCTCTCTCTCTCTCTCTCTCGAATTCTTGTAATCCTTGTAATTCTTTATAATTTAAGTGCTGTATTTATTTTTAAATATTATTATACCTAAGCTTTGTATAATGAATTGTGAGCCCGCAGAGGGACTTATTAAGTCCCTCCTTTTGAGATGTAATTTTACTTTTGTCTCAATGAACGTGTCAAAGTCAAAGTCAGAGTCTCTCTCTCTCTCTCTCTCTCTCTCTCTCTCTCTCTCTCTCTCTCTCTCTCTCTATATATATATATATATATATATATATATATATATATATATATATAATATATATACTGTATACATACACACACACATATATATATATATAATATATATATATATATATATATATATATATATATATACATAATATATAATATATGTATATATATATATATATGTATATACATATATAACACACACACATATATTTGTGTGTTATATATATATATATATATATATATATATATATATAGTAACGTATATATATGTATATATAATTATACACAACACACACACACAACGGGTATGTTTGTATGTATGCCTATTTTGATAATCAAAAACATCCACCGCCTCCACGTACGACACCGCTGTGCGTCATCAGCCAGATTTCACTTACGCGAGAGGAATCGTTGTGACTCTCGAGGGCCCCGATTAGCGGCCGATTCCAGCGACATCCGGACAGGGCGAGTTTCAGTCCAGACTCGGCTTTGTCTTTGAAGCACGTAGGCGAGGGCGGGCGCGGGCGGGAAGGGCGGGCATGCCTAGGCGCCGCTCGCGTAACTCTCCCAAAAGGGACGCGAGGCCGAGCGTTGGCATTCCGCGGAGGTCTGGAGTAGATGTATAATGCGATTCATTTTTTTCGCGGCTGCGTGTATCGGGCGAGCCCGTGTGTATTCTGAGCGTCATCTATATGCGGCGCATTCATTACGGATCATCACAAGGCTTTATATTAACCGCCACCTCTTTCTCTCGCCCCACAGGTCCAGGACACTCTCGAGGAAGGTGTCGGGGTGGTGGAACCCGTGTCTTCGGGAAACGTCAAGCTGGTCAACCAAGTCCGACTTCTGTGCGAGGCCTCGACCAGCGCCCCGTCTCAAGAACTCGCCGACCTCCTCTTGCGGCCTCACCTTCTGGTATGGCCTCCACTGCAGTGTACTCGATCTCTCGTTATGTAAGCCCGCGAACACCCCCTCGTTGTCTTTTGTCTGTAGCTGTCTTGTGCTCTTGTTTGCTGAGAGCTGCTGATGCTGCCGCTGGTGCTGCGAAGCGTTGGTCTGGTAGAGTGCTTGTCCTCGCTCTAGGTCTCCTCCTCCTCCACTCTGCTCGAGGCTGAGGGTCTCCCAGAGGAGCTCTTGAGGAAGGAGGGTGAGGGACTTGCGGGAGCCCGTCAGATCCCTCCGCTGGTGGCAAAGGGCCGTCCCGGTGCCACCCTCTCGCAGCCCGAGCTCTGTTGGCATCACATTAACCGGTGAACCTCAGGAACCCTCAGCGCCCCTTCGGCCGTGTGTTGGCATTCTCCTCTCCCTCCTGTGTTCGATTCCTCTTTAGTTGTGTTTGTCTCTTCCCCTTCTGTACCTGACCCCCCATCTTGTAGTTACATAACATTGTATTAATTCTTTGTTGTGCATGGTTTGATTTAACAAATTCATCTTTCTTTTTGTGCTGTTTATTGCCCAGTCCCCCAGATTCGATTAGTTTAACTGTTTGTTTATTTGTGTTAGGGTACTGTGTCATTTGCTAAAACAGTTCCTGCGTTTTGAGCTTCCATTAGATGAGAGAAACTCTTGAGTGAGGTTTTTGCATTAAACGTAGTGTAAGTGACGTGCTTGTTTTTACATCGTCCATTGTCATTTGCAAAGTGAAAGTGGGAAAACTGTGTCCGGAGAACATTTAAATGCAAAAGTGTAGAGCTTGATGAAGGTTTGCTGACAGCGTCGGGTCGTCAGGCCAGAATGGTGATCACATTTCGTCATGAAACCGCGAATGGCAAATGGAAAGCTGATGCATTTATCACGAATGATAAATGTTTATTCTCGCCAGACAAACAGCCGCAGCCATGAAGTTCTTGCGGATCTCATGGGCTCCTTATCGCCTGTACTGTGCACGCTGACTATTCCGTTTATATCTCGCTAGTCTGTTTATTTGTTTGTCTTTTTCTCTTAATTATGTCGCACTCTCTGTAGTTTCCAAGTGCAGGAATATCACAGTAGCTGATCACAAAGACGGAGGCAGAATGTAATGGGTTGAGCACAATGACCGGGACTCTGATGCAGACAGCGTTAGTGGTTGATGTTACTCCAGATGATTCCGGATGATAGTAGTTTTGTCAGGCGTCGATTTGAATAATGGAAGCGATGCAAGGGCATTTGCTGAAAGAAGGGGTACATGGCTCGTGTGTATACATATATGTAAGCGTATGTACGTATATATATATATATATATATATATATATATATATATATATATATATATATATATATATATATATATATATATATATATATATATGTGTGTGTGTGTGTGTGTGTGTGTGTGTGTGTGTGTGTGTGTGTGTGTGTGTGTGTGTGTGTGTGTGTGTATCTATGTATGTATATGTACACACACACACACACACACACACACACACACACACACACACACACACACACACACACACATATATATATATATATATATATATATATATATATATATATATATAGTGTGTGTGTGTGTGTGTGTGTGTGTGTGTGTGTGTGTGTATGTATGTATATATCTATGTATGTATATTTCCAAATTCATATTTCCGCAAAGCACTACAGTGTAGATAGGCCCACCACAAAAAAAATCTTAGATCGGTTATAGGTTTTTCTTTCAGTGAAGTATTGCATTGAATAGGTTTTCGATTCTCCATTGGTCATGCAGCTGATAGGGAATCGGTGTTTGTGTAATGTTTTTGCCTCAACTCACATCTTTTCCTTGTCCTGTATTATATAACAGGAATATTGTTATTTTTCCAGTTGCATGAGAAATGTAAGATAACTGATAAGGATAATGACAGGCGTTTGAACAGCGTGATCCATATCTTGAACTAATTCAAGGCCTGCACCTTGCATGGTAACATTTGGCAAAATTAAAAGAATAAAAGCATGCTACAAGATACACACGTGTACACACATACACACCTACACACACACACATGTACACGCACACGAACACGCACAGACACACAGACCTACGCAGACACACACACACACACACACGCACAGACACACGCACACGCACACACACCCGCACGCACGCACGCACAAAGCAAGAATAACATCCTAAACGCATGATGTACAAACTTTTTTCCTTTTTTTTCGTAAGATCTTGTAATTTTAGTTTTCTTTTTGCAAAATACCGTAACTGTATTTTCGCAGTCTGCTTTCTTTACATTCAGGTACAAGCATCAAACGCAATGTCATTACTATTCATTTAGAATTCAGTTTATGAGACATTTTTAAAAGGGGTTTATTAACTTATTGTCTTCTAAGTGAATGCGAGAAATATATAGGAAGGGAAATACTTTTCTTGTCATAATAAGAGTGGTAATGCCATGTCTCTTTTTCTACATCTTGCTGCTGCTACTCCTCCGTTTTCTTCTCCTCCTCCACTTCCTCTTCTGTTTCCTCCTCCTCCTCTTTCTCTGTTTTCCCACCAGTTACCTCCTCCTCCTCCTCCTCTTTATCCTCATCTTCCCACTCTCCTCTATTTGCTCTCGTTCCTCCTGCTCCTCCTCTTCATTTTCCTAGACCTCCTCCATTTTCTCTTCCTTCTCGTCTCTTTCCTCTTCTTCTCTTCCTCCTCTTCCCCCCTTCTCCTCCTCCTTCTCCTTCTTCTTTTTCTTCCTTCCTCCTCTCCACCTCCTCCTCCTCCTCCTCTTCATCATCATCCACCACATCCTCCTCCTCCTCCTCATCTTACAATGACAGAAGCAGTATTTCTTTCTCTCATATGTATGGGCGTGTATCAGTTGGTGTCCCACAAAGAAACCTGTTATCCGACCAAACAATGAGTATTAATGACATTGGTTTTATGATATCGTATTTCCATGTTACTTTTTCTATTTTCTTTGACAAAGAACAGATGCATTCTTTGTCAAATGATATCACTGATAAATGACATTGACTGTAGATATAGAAACTGTTGATAAGTTCTTAGAGAGCCAGCAAAGCAGCCTGCATATTAAATGATCATGTAATTTCAGTTGAAATTAGATTATATACAATGAGTGGCGATTTACTTCTGTAGATGGCTTTGTTTTGATTTTTTTTTTTTTTTTTTTTTTGAAAATGCATGTTAGAGATAACTATTTTAAGTTGATCCTTTATTTCTGAGGGTTTTTTTTATAACACACTTATACTCCTCTTTAACATGATACAGTTTACATCTCTATAACACCAATACCCATGTCCTTTTCTGCTCGTCTCGTGGAAAAAAAAAATATTTCAAAAGAATGCGGCCACATTCTAGTTCTTTTACATTACATTTCCTTCGCAACAATACAGTCTCACACTACACTGACAGAGAGCATGTTCTGCAATGGTGAGATGTTATTCCTTTGCCGGGCAGGTGAACTTCCGTCAATGATTTCTGTGGACGTTTCGCACCGCTCCTCATCACCAGCTGTTCAGTTTGCAGCTATTCATCGTATTGTTTCGAATTTCAACGTAAAGTTATTGCTGAACATTTTCTCTAAGGATCTGACGTTTGTGTGATCCGAAGCAGTGAAAGACAGAGAGGAGGGAGGGCGAAAGAGAGATTCTGTTCTTTGTTTGATTTTTGCTCTTCCGTGAAAGAGTCCATCTGATTTGTGTGATGTAATCCTATTTTTCCTTTAAAGAAATAATGATAATAATTCTGTTATATCATTCAGCCAGTGCTAGAATATTTCCATCCATGATGTATCTTTTTAGAATGAATATTTAGAAGTACTGTGAATACCTAAGTATCTTTAGGATTACATAAACGAAACTCTGAGTAGCCTGATAAGACATCTCACACAGCAGATAATGCTCTTTAGATACGCACATTCTATTTACCGAAACTCTTTAATCACACTTGTATAGTATTATCTGTACAGTCCCCAGCACCCTCCACCCGCTGCCTTCCTTCCCTCACGAAGCCCAAAACTCGCAGGAAACGGAATCTGATTCTCCTCTCCCCCTAACCCCCCCCCTCGCCCAGGCCCTCCTCGAGACCCACGACACCATCGCCGACCGCAGACACACGGGCGACGCAGGCACCTCCAACGGCTACAACAACGGCATCAACGGCTGCCACGACAACGCCACCTTCATGCCCGAGGAAAATGGCTACCCGGTGGACGCCATCCGGATGGTGGGCCTCCGGAAGCGCCCCGACGAGCCCCTGGGGCTGACGGTGCGGGAGGACGAGAGCGGCTACCTGGTCATCGCGAGGATCATGGCGGGCGGCAGCATCGACAGACAGGGGCTCCTGCACGTCGGCGACGCCATCTGCGAGGTCAACGGCGTCGAGGTGGGTGCCGCCTTTGGCTCGACCGTTTGTTTGTTTGTTTGTTCGTTTGTTTTACTTATTTATCTATTTCTGCGCAGGTGATTTGAATTAAGCTGAGGGCATTTTTCATGCTGAGCTATCAAAATCTAGATAGATGAAAAATTATGCTACTCTTATAGTCTAGATTTATGAAGATTAATTTGAATAGTGCTACTATAAATCTGACACAAAGATAATCCAGCCAACGAGAAAATATTCACAACGTCCATCGAAACCAAACGCCTTTAGATTCCACAACCCCCCCCCCTTCCCTTCCGCAGATCAACAGCCTCCAACAACTCCACGAAGAAGTGGCCAAGTGTCGAGACTCCGTGACGCTGAAGGTGCTGCCGGCCCTCCACGACCCGCCGGCGCCCAACCAGGTAACCAGCACTCTCCACCCAGACGCAACCAGGGCCATTGTAAGTTCCTCTTCGTTATTTTTATTTCCGCTTTGTGTCTTTGCGCAAGTGGGCGTCTCGCTTCGGCCGACCTAACAGATGCTTCTCCTTCGGGTCTCCTTCTGGTGGCGGCGCTGGTGGCGGTGGGTGGTCGCGAAAGGTCCTAACACAGGCGGGAGTGTGAGGAGCCTGGCACAGCTTTCCTTCCGTTGACACGTTTTGTTTTGGGAAAGGCTCGATCAGCAGCAACTCGAGGAGGTGTCATGTTTTGATGATTGTTCAATAAAAATATAACCATTAAGATCATTATCTTCCATCCCTTTTGAAAATTGAAAAGATCAAAGTGATCGACCACATTCACAAAGCATCCGTAGCGTTTGTGACGTCATCAAAACAAACTCCATGTGTTTTTTTTTCCAAAATTAGAATCAGACGCCATGACACCTCATCGAGTTGCTACTGATCTAGCCTTCCCCGTTTTGTTTTCTGCGGGTTTGCCATTCGCGTGTGCAATTCAGAAAGTAGTTGTCTTTGTTATTAACTAAACCTTTTGAAAAATGCATGCGGTATTTGTTTTCTAATAGATTTTTGTTATTCACTTATATAATTAAGTGGGTATTGTCTATTACTAACATTTTTTTTTTTAAATAATGCATGCGATACTCTATTTGGATATGTAGTTTAGACTTTATCACTAATATATAATTAAGATTCCCTAAAGGAATGCCATGATAATTTTCACATGAACAATAGTAATTACAACTTATCCTTCAAAGATACTTTTTGAAAATATTCGTTTCCAAAAATAATAATTAACTTTATATATATATATATTCTTAGACATAATGATGATAAAAATAATGTAATATTTTATATAAACTAATCAATTTATCGTATGACATTTAAAAATTATCCACAGTCATTTTACAAAGCTCTGACTACACCATACAGCAACACATAGCTTCACGAAACAACTCTAATCAACATGTAATGAAATATGGACCTCAGAGCCCACACCTTAAACATTTAAGACAAAAAACGGAATTATTTATGCACGTAAAATGTTTCACTCCATAACCTTGCTCTTAACACACGCTTCTCTCCCCAACAGTGCTACATGCGAGCTCTCTACTCCTACGACCCCACGGATGACACTCTCTTGCCCACGTGCCCGTCGCAGCAGCCACAGGATATTGGCCTCAAGTTTGAAAAGGGCGATATTCTTCAGGTATGGTCTGAGGTTTTGGCTCTTTATTATTTTTTGTTTTTTTTTTTTTCGTTCTGTTTCGTTTCTTTCTTTCTCCTCCTCTCTCTCTCTCTCTCTCTCCTCTCTCTCTCTCTCTCTCTCTCTCTCTCTCTCTCTCTCTCTCTCTCTCTCTCTCTCTCTCTCTCTCTCTCTCTCCTCTCTCTCTCTCTCTCTCTCTCTCTCTCTCTCTCTTCCTTCTCTCTCTCTCTCTCTCTCTCTCTCTCTCTCTCTCTCTCTCTCTCTCTCTCTCTCTCTCTCTCTCTCTCTCTCTCTCTCTCTCTCTCTCTCCTCTCTCTCTCTCTCTCTCTCCCTCTCTCTCTCTCTCTCTCTCTCTCCCTCTCTCTCTCTCTCCCTCTCTCTCCTCCCTCTCTCTCTCTCTCTCTCTCTCTCTCTCTCTCTCTCTCTCTCTCTCTCTCTCTCTCTCTCTCTCTCTCTCTCTCTCTCTCTCTCTCTCTCTCTCTTCCTCTTCCTCCCTTTCTCTCTATCTATCTCTTCACTCTTTTTTCTTACATGTGGTAAATTTGTTATATAGCTATTAGTGCCTAAATGTGCTATAACATGATAATTATAATTATTTAACATTTCACACTTTTCTTCAATCAATTAAATATCCCACCTCATTCATATTACCCCTTCCCATTACCCCCAATTCTATTTATCCAACATAAAAAAAAAATACGATCCGGCATCTCAGACACTCCATCCCTCCTTCGACTAAGCCCCGCCCCCTTTTTCCCCCGACAGATCGTTGACCAGTCGGACCCGAACTGGTGGCAGGCGCAGGTCGTGGGCTCCGGCAGCAAGCGCACAGGTCTCATCCCTTCGCAGGAGCTGGAGGAGCGTCGTAAGGCCTTCGTCAGACAGGAGTATGATTACGTGCATAAGATCGGCATCTGCGGCACCAGAGTGAGTTGCGTTTTTTTTTTCTTTCTTTCTTTCTTTTCTTTTTCTTCTTTTCTTTGAAATTTAGGATTGTTTGTTTGTTTGTTTAGAGTGAGAGTAATAGGGTTGGTGGAGGTCGGGAGGAAGTAACGTTGCTATTTTTGAAGGTAATTTGACAATCAAATGAGTTTTAAAGAGTAAAGCAGAAAGAAAAGAAAGTAACGGTTCACAACTTTTCATCTTACAATTATTACTCACATATACAGTGTGAAAGTGATATCATTATAAGTACAATCGCGTAGCATTCATCTTAAATCACATTACCAATCATAACTACAAACAATACACACACACACACACACACACACACACAATGCAAATTATAAAAACAGTGATGATTGTAGCAATAATAA